TTATTAGCGCTTGCCAGGGTGGAAGGGAGCAGGAGAGGGGAGTGATCATTTAGGAAGCAATGAGTTTCTGCTTATGGTGATGGGAAATTTGGCAATGATTATGGGTGATGGTTATACAACATGATTAATTTAATTGATATCACTAAATTATACACCTGAAAAATGTTAAATTGGCAAATGCTGTGTTACATATATATTTACAATAGAAAAGTACTATAAAAAATAAAAATAAAAAAATGCAAATATGTTCGCAGATCATATTAAAAATTATTAGGAAAAAAAAGAATTTAGATGGAAGAAATATGGATACCAGTTTACTAGTTGCCATTAAACCAATTCTGACTCATGGCAACCCCATGTGTGCAGAGTAGAACTGTGCTCCATGTGACCTTTCAGGAGCAGATCGCCAGGCCTTGCTTTAGATGGAAGAAATATGAAAGTCATATGACTGGAAGTGTTAGAGCATATATTTTTGGAAACAAACCCATGGAGAGAAAAGAAAAGTTAAGGGAAAACCACCAGGATCTGGATACTGCATTTCTTTCTGCAGTCAATAAGAGAGAAGTGCTTGAGAAGATTGCTGGTGCCAAGTCAGAATATTGTACTAGGTTCTGCTTTGCTTTGGCAGGGAATTACCAGGACCCCTCTGCGTCCTATGGGAGGAGGCAAGGGCAACATTCCCAGGCCTACACAAAAGCTCCCTCTTAGGTTCACAGTATGTATAATAAAGATCATACAAAGCTTTTCTTTTCTGTCTTAGTAACAGAGGACAGTCTTGTCAACTCAAGGTAAAGTTAGTCATTTCCAGTGTGGGTCTCTGTCTTTTTTCGGTAAAATCTCAGTAGTACAGGACACCCTCCCATTCGTTCTCCTCCTCTTAGTTTTCCTTCTCCCTCCTTCCTCCCAGGGAATGATACGTGTTCTAGAGGGAGCTAGCTGGGTTCAACCCTAGACATCCTTCTAGGTCAGATCACTAGAATGACACTAAAGTTGCAGTCTACCATCAGGAGGGAATAAACGTAGAGTGGAAGCCTTGTCAGACAAGAACAATTCATTTAACAACATTCTACAAGATTTATTCAGCACCTACCATGCACCAGACACTCTTCTGGGTACTGGGCACAGCAGTGAAAAAAAGAGATAAAAACCTGCCTTTGTGGAACTTACATTCTAGTGAGAGGGGAAATAGACAGTAAATAACATGAGAATATATTTAATTTTCTGAAGCAACCAAGTTATTCTGCTTATCTAGACACACCTAGACCAATCTTTACCAAACCACTTTAATTGTTGCTACCACATAGCTCATGATAGACAGACATTTGGCCTAAATGCCATTGTTAACTACTAATCAGTCAAGTACATTTTTCTTCCGAGCCCAGGTATTACCTAAGACTTCCTCTTAACAGAACTTGCCAGGTATTCACTACCAGTCAGAGCAGATAGCCAAGAAATAATTATATTTTTTTCATATCTAGAATATAGCTCAAAAGTACGTTTTAAGCTTACTTCTCAAATGTTCCATCCAGAAAATTTCACAGCTACCTTGAAAGGTACTGACCTTCTGGTCCCTAATGAGTTTCAATTATTAGTTAGATGGCTATGTGTTAAAAATGCTTTGAAAGATATCTTAAATCAAGTGGAAATTTGGATTAAATGATCTCAAAGCTTCTTTCTAAATTTAAGATACTATTCTTCTGGTAAACACTAACATCTATGTATGCATCTTCTTATACAAGGATACATATGCACATACGTACTGTATTTGTATATGCAAGGAAAAGAACAAAAAAGAGGCTGAATTGATGATTTCTGATAGAGACATCAGTTATATATCAAAGTTCTGAATTAACATAAAATCATCTAAATCTTCATAAAGAAAGCAACAGCATTATCTAACGCATTACACTGTAATTTATGGAAAAATAAACAAAGTTGAGAAATTTGTATTATTCTGAGAGGGTTCGCTGTTGGCCTACAAAGTTCAACTTGGTTTTATACAAGAAGAGTTAAATAAATAACGTCATTATTTTTCTGGGCAAATCATATCAGTTAGAGACTCATGTTTAATGTTTACCATACATAAGTCAGAGGTTAAGAGTCTTGATCCAGTCTAAAGTCTTGGGTGTGACTGTAAAATAGCCAACAAGTCCAAGGCTGAGTATGGCTGACAACCATGAGGGCAGACCACTGCGAACAGTTTAATACTCCTGTCTCATGAAAGAAGAGAAAACAAAATATTGAAAAGTACAGCTTAGCAGGAGAGACACCAGATACTTCAAACTTTATGCTGACCCTAATAATTTAGTGTACTTGACCTTCACATCCCTTTTTGCATTTTATTCATTCCTTCTGATCTCCCTCTTGGCTCCTTTCACAATCGATGCGAGTTAGGCCTGGGTTTAGCAGTTGAATGAGAAACAAGTCTTATTAAAACTTAAGAATGTTATTGTTGTTGCTAGTTGCCACAGAGTCAATTCCAACTCACGGTGGCCCCATGTGTACTCTTCTTTAAATAAATAGTTTAAAAGTATCATTCTATCAATAAAGTGAAGAGATAACCTACAGATTGGGGGAAGATTTTGGGGAACCATATATCTGATAAGGGTTTAATATCTAAAATATATGAAGAACTCCTACAACTCAACAACAAAAGAAACAAACAAACCAATCAAAAAATGGGCAAAGGACTTGAATAGACATTTCACCAAAGAAGATACACAAATGGCCAGCAAGCCAAATGAAAAGATGCTCAACATCATTAGTCGTCATCGTCGTCGTTCTGATTCATGACAATCCCCTGTGTGCAAAGAAGAACTGCTCCATAAGGTTTTCAAGGCTGTGACATTTTGGAAGCAGATTGCCAAGCCTGTCTTCCGAGGCTCTTCTGAGTGGGTTTGAACTGCCAACCTTTTGGCTAGTAGTCAAGAGTGCTTAACCATTTGGACCACCCAGGGACTCCCATTAGTCGTTAGGGAAATGCAAATCAAAACCACGATCAGAGACCACTTTGCCCCCACTAGGATGGCTATGATCACAAAAATGGAAAACAACAAGTGTTGGCAAGAATGTGGAGAAATTGGAACCCTCCTGCATCGCTAGTATGATTGTAAAATGGTGCAGCCACTATGGAAAACAGTTTGGCATTTCCTCAAAAAGTTAAACATAGAATTACTACATGATCCAGCCATTTCACTCCTAGGTATGTACCCAAAAGAACTGAAAGCAGGAACGCAAACAGATACTTGTACACCAATATTCATGCAGCACTATTCACAACAGCCCAAAGGTGGAAATAACCTAAATGTTTATCAACAGATGAATGGATAAACAAAATGTGGTATGTACATACAATGGATTATTACTCAGTCATAAGAGAAATAAAGTCCAGATACATGCTACAACATGGATGAACCTTGAAAACACTATGCTAAGTGAAATGTCAGTCACAAAAGAACAAATATTGTATGATTCCACTTATATGAAATATCTAGAATTGGCAATTGTATAGAGACCAAAGTTTATTAGTGGTTATCAGGAGCAGAAGGAATGGAACAAGAGGAGTCATTAGTTGGGGGCACTGAGTTTCTGTTAATGGTGACAGAAAAGGATAGTGTGATGGTTGCATAACATGATGAACGTAATTAATGTTACTGAATTGTACATGTAAAAAATGCTGACATGGCAAATGTTTTATTATATGTATTTGTACCACAACAAAAATAAACAGGCAATGACAAAAATTTTTTTTAAATATCATTCTGAGCAGGTCAAGTCCTTTTCTCCTCTACCCCTTTTCAAATATTTGTAGGAAGTACAATAGCTGAATTATGAAGACCCATCCTTTTTTGTTGTTGTTGTTATTGTATTTCTAACCAATAGATTCTAAAATTATTAACTAGTCTGAAAGATGACTAGCCCGAGGGGAAGAGGAAAAAACAAAAGCAAAAATAACTTCTAAGCCACAAACACCAATCTGTTTTTAAGCAAAAATTTGTGAGCTAACTATACTGTAAATTCCAATGAACTCTTCTAAATGTATCCCGATTCAAATGAAATACACTTCCAAGTTCAGACAAGGCTCAAAGAACCGCAGACATAGCCTGCTGAACAACCTAATCAGGCAACAGGCTTAAATGATAATAGGGGTTCACTTTCAAAAAGGACTAGCAGACAACCCCCAGGTCTTTGGTAGCTAATATAGAAAAAGAATCACAGGAACCTCAAGGCATTAATCGTCTTGGCTCACATTTTCAGGTTTTTGTCTTCAATCAGGAGCCCTGGTGGCGCAGTGGTTAAAAGCTCAGCCGCTAACCAAAAGGTTGACAGTTTGACTCCATCAGCCACTGACTGGAAACCATATGGGGCAGTTCTACTCTGTCCTATAGAGTGGCTAAGAGTAGGAATCGACTCGCTGGCAACAGGTTTGGTTTTGGTGAATCTTCAGTCGACAACTTTTCCAACACATATCTTATTAAGACTTCTCATAAACTTAAAGATGGTAACCCAGTCATCTATCAACCTTTTCTTCTCTAGTGGAAATATACTGTTGCCTCACATTTGTAGTTTCCCATCCTGAATCATCTCCTTTCTTCCTACCAACTAGTGATGAAGAGGGATGATGAAAAGCAAAGGACTTGAAGTGAGAGGGGGAAGCAGAAGTTCTCTGGCTCTCTTCCGTGAGCACATCCCACAGACTGAGGCATTCTGGGTTGACCATGCCCATGGACTCTGCCCGAAGGAGAAAACAGTAAAGAATTTAACCATGATAATAATTTCTGCCATCAACCATGATGGAGTTCCAGCTTTAATGGTAAACTAGTCCTAATTCTTTTTTTTTTTTTTTTTTTTTTTTTTTT